CAAAATAAGGGAACGCCAATATAGACCCCAAAATACTAGAGTCCTTATCATTGGGACCCCTAAAATGGTAGCCCTACTTTTGGGAAACTCCCATAAACCCTAAACCCTAAACCCTAAACCCCAAATCCCATTTGACTCAGACCTCCCGACTCGTACGGACGGCCTTCGTTGGTGGCGGCTTTACCGCCAGACGGGCTTCTCCCCCAGTTTGGGCTTTCAGGGTTTGGGTACGTGTTTTCGGGTGTCGGGATTATGGTTAAGGGGGGTTCATGGTTTGTGGATTTGAGTTTCATCATGGGGTCTCAATTGGTTATGAAGGGATTTTGGGGCACCGTGTACAGTAGGTCCGTGCTTTCATGTAGGCCTATGCGATCATGTACGAGTACTTCAAAGCCAGAGATATGCGTATGGGTGGTTGTCAAAATTATGGTCCCTTTTTGGATCCCCATTATACTACGGGACCTAATATTTAGGGTACCCAAAAAGGGACCATAATTTTGACAACCACCCATATGGATTTTGGAGGGATTACGGGGATTCCTTCAAAGGGCTAGGGTGACAAGATCGGCGCTCTTAGGCTCCAAAATGCGCAAACGTCAGCAGTTCCCAGATGTAGGTTTCCAAGGTTGGGAGTACTTAATTAAACTAGTTATCATCCCGGGTCATCCCCGGGGATATACTGGGATAATCGAAAAGAAAATGGAACTACTATGGTGCATTGGTATTATATAGCGATAAGGAAGATCAAAATGGAAGCTGCTATTTAGGGTTTAGGTTTCCCAAAACCAGGGGTACCTTATTGGGATTCCTTATAACAAGGACTATAGTATATTAGGGTTTATATTGGGGTCCCCCTATTTAGGGAAACTACCCTTCTAGGTCATCTCCATGTTGTGCGCCATACGCTACAATAGAATCTACTCGACGATAATTGAAACACTGCAGAGCTTGGGCAAAGCCGTCAGGGACTGAAGCCTGAAGCCGTACACCAAACTACAAGGTTCCTGAAAATAGTTATTAATTTCTGTTACCAACAATCCTAATATTTAGCTGAAATTATAATTTCTACTTGGGTTCCAAATCCCTTAGAGCAAACCCTTGGCAGTCCTCCTCTTATCACCTTTCGGCTATCCTCAACTATGGTCCCAGTTTCACCTCGCAAAAGGGGGCACTCCAAAAAACAATCCAATTTTTCAGCCAGGTCATAGAAGACTCTAAACCTTACCCTCAGCCTCCTAAGCCCTAAACCCTGGACCAATCATGCCTCTTATCACTCCTAGGCTCCGCCCTTGCTGGGAGATGACCTAGAAGGGTAGTTTCCCTAAATAGGGGGACCTCAATATAACCCCAACATACTCTAGTCCTTGTTATAAGGAATCCCAATAAGGTACCCCTGTAAGGCTTGACATGCTGGTGTCAGGGGTGGATCCCTAATCCGCCCTGTATGATCCCCATATCATTCCCAAGCAAAAGGGGCTCATATAGTTTCTCATCCTTGTACATACCCCGATTCTAGTGACTGTAGAAAAAGTTTCAATAATCCCCATACAATTCCCAGGATCATATAGCTTCATATACGTACCCCGTTTAGAGTGTCTCTAGTAAATATGAAGGACCCTAAAGCCTAAAACCCTCAACCGCAACACTCCAAACCCTAAAGCCCAAAACCCTAAACCCTAAAACCCTAAACTATAATCCCTAAGACCTAAAACCTAAACCCTTACACTCTCCCTACAGTACCAGCGCGTTTCAAGTTGGAAGGTGGGAGTTGCACGACAAGCTGACAGCCGGCGAGCCCAGGGGATCTTGAAAGCTTCAGGCCTTTTAGGGTTTTAGGGTTTAGGGGTTTGGGGTTTAGGGGTTTAGGGTTTGGGTTTAGGGGTTTAAGGGGTGTAGGGTTTAGGGGTTCAGGGGTTCAGGGGTCAGGGGTTTAGGGTTTAGGGGTTTAGGGGTTTAGGTTTTAAGGATTTGAAGAGCAGATCCCTTACCTGGACCCCTTAAGAGCTTGTAAGATTATAGCCCAAAACGCCTGAACAAGTGTCAAATAGGCCATTGTTTTACATACCTGTAGGATTCACGTTCACACTGCCCTGAACATCCCGCGCTACTATTATGCTACCTTGAGGGACCGTTTTGGGAAATGTGTTGTTCAGACTTCTTGATGGGTTTTTGGTTGCGACACGGTGGCATTTCGCAGGCCGCCCAAATCGACCTGCTGGTGTGCGAGCTAGAGTGAAGGAGTCCATGCAGCCCTATATGAGCTATAGTCTCAGTTTAAGCTCCTTAAACAACCCCAGATGAGCTATAGTCCAAGCTCCTTAAAGGGGAGGTATATATGCGGATTATATGCTGATTATATAGGGCAGTACTATAGGGTTATAAAGGGGATACTGGGAGTTTAGGCTGCTATAGCTCATCTTACAGTGAGGGTATGCGTTTTTGTCGCCCCTAGCCCGAAACTCTGAATGACCTAGCAGTTTCATGTTTCGCTCCTTACCCCAACCACAAAACCCTTCTCACCACCAGTACGCATAAGCATTCCATACCCTAGGCTTTGGACCCTAAACCCCAAGCCCTAAAGCCTATAAGTCCTATAAACCCTAAACCTTAAGCATGGGTATGTCTGAGGCTACTCCCTGCGGTACTTCGATGTCCGTGGAGCTGCCGAGTTCACGCCTCAGACGAGCCGAGAAGAGACGGGCACCTGCCTGCTTAGAGTTAGGACCCGCAAGTTTGGTGTTCAGAGCTTGGTTCAGTGTAGGATTATTGGGTTTAGGGTTTTGGCATCAGAGTTTACCTAGCCCTAAACCCTGAACCCTAGGATGGGGAGGTCAGGGACTAGGGTTCAGGTTTAAGCTTAGCATTTGCAAGGGACACTGTGGGAGTCCGAGGACTATTCGCCTTCTTTTCGCAGCCGCCGGGCAAGAGTACGAGGCTGGCAGCCTAAACCCTATAAGCCCTGGGCCCCAAAAGTATGTAGAACAATGGCCTTCTGGGCTATTTTAACGTGTTTGGGCTATTATTTTACCTACTTTTGGGGTCCAAGTAAGTCCTGGTTTTGGGTTTGAGGTTCTTGCAGCTGGCCAAGGCGTTCAATGGTTGATTATAGCCCGGGGCAAACCCATCGGGATGGCGCAAAGCCAATTCTTGCTAGCGGCGACTCATTCCTAGGCTTGTCGCACTAAACCGACAGCTTTGGAGGAATTGACCCACAACCTGTCCAAGTTTTCGGCTTGTTCTTTAAACCTTCGTCGACGATGGCCTTTGTAGCCTAGATTTGTTTGCCTTAGCCCTAAACCCTAAACCCCTAAACCCTAAAGGCTTCTGGTGGTTGCAGATCGTAAGCGCTGCAGGCGTCTAAGGTTCGCCCCAGCATTCGGGGATCGCCTCAATTTGTCAACGGCTCTGTGGGGTTCCCCCTGCGCAGCTAACACTGACTTCCCCCAAGAAGAAAATTTATATTACATTTGATGAGACCATGTCGAGCCTTCATGTCCTACATAGAACTGCGCTTTCTTGTTTAGGACAACCGCTACCCGCTGGCCTTTGGCAGCGGAGTGCCCGGAGATTTTGCCACCGTGCAGCGCAAGGACTACCTGATCGGCCTTTAGGGTTTATTTAGGGAGTGTGTTGAGCATCAGCAGGCCGTTGGTGCTGTTACCCTCAAAATCTGGCCCTCCTTGCCATTATATAACAGCCTTATGCCATTGATCAAGAGAATAATGATGGTGATTATTATCTTCATGATTACCATGGTTAGTTAGCGGCATGGCTGCTGTTGCCATTTCAAGTATGATTTCTGTCATTGCTGGCGACGATGCAGCTGCTGTCTGCTGAATTACGCCCTTCGCTGGTTTGCTCTTATGAGCTTCCAAGTTGCAGGTTCTCAAACTAGTACTGGACCTCATTGAAACCTCGTGAGGAATATGGCATTTTTCCAAAATAAGGGGTCCCCCCATATAGACCCCTATATCTATATACTATAGTCCTCATTATTGGGACCCCCAAAAAAGTACCCCTATTTTGGGAAGTCCCCATACGTAACTGGAATCTCTAAACGGAACGCAATCTGGAGTTTCCATTTTTCCCATTGTCCCCATATAACACCAAAATACTATATAGTAGTTTCCATTTGTTGCCACTATCCCTATATAACCCGGACCTTAAACCTTAAATTCGTAATTTTATAGCCCCCATATTTGCCCTTATTTCCCAATCTTGAGAGGCCCGCACGATTCGGATCTCAGGAGTTCGATGATGACAAAGCCTCGGGTAAGCTGGACATCGCCCTGGGCAAGGCGCTTCATTGGTCTGTGCCCAAATACTAATTTAGGGTTCAGCGTTTAGGGTTTAGGGTTGGGGTTATATATGGATAATGGAAAATGGAAACTACTACAGTAGAATAGGAGATATCGAGGGTTACATTGGGGTATATTGGGGTTATGTATTGGTTTGTGCCCAATAATACTTCCCTGCTTTGTTAGCGTCAGGTAGAAGATGACACATCGTAAGGTTCTATCTTCCCATAATCATAAAGATGTGAAGGAGAGAAGGCCCAAAAATTGGGGAGTGCCTTTAAGAGGGTTATGGGGGAATATATAGGGTCTATATAGGGGCTATATAGGGTTATTTAGGGAGTATATCAGGGTTGTATATGGATTGTACAGGGTTTGGGGTTTAGGGGTTCCCAAAAGTAGGGGTACCGTTTTGGGGCCCCCATCAAAAGGATCATAGCATTTGGGTGTTTATATTGGTGTCCCCCTACTGGGGAAACTACCAGACCCAGCAAATCGCCAGGTGCCAATCTTGCATGTTGGCGACTTCTCACTGCCCCAGAGCAAAGCCATCGAGCGATATGTGGCCCTCAACTTATTTCCACCTCGGCGACGTGGGTGTACGCGAATTTGTGGTGCCAAGTTTTGAGGGTTTTCCAGGTCATGCTCAAGATCCTCTCTAAAGCACGGCTAGATAGGCCCTTCAATCTTGGCACATGCTCTCTTCAGGGTTTCAGTCAAAAGGCCCTGTGTCAACCCTTGTCTGAGCTTTCACAAGTCCCGCATTGCCTTGACAAATAGAAGTGCCTATACAGGGGTCCATGATTTGTTGGGGAAAGTCCTTCCTACTCCAGGCCTCTCTTTTCGGGCAGAATGCTCCCATGAGGCCCGAAAAGTTGGGATGATGGGCGACAACGAAGAAGAGGAGGCATCGACGGGTGATCTGCGCAGGGTTTACAGGGTCTAGAGGGATTGGAGCGATCGTGAGGTTCGTAAGGTTTGTGGGGTGTAGGGTGTAGGGTCTAGCGGGGCTATGGGACTCACAGGATTGTGGGCTTTCGAGCTTACGGTCCGGTTTAGGCGCCTGCAGGGGAGGTTCTCATACTGTCATAGAAGTAAGATACCCAAGCAGGAGTGGTAGTGATGTCCTTTATGGTGGTCATCTAGATCAGATTTACAATGACAAAAATGGAAGTTATTTAGGTCAATCCAGAACTAGCTGCAGTAGTAGCCCAGTTGTATGTAGTGTTGTTGTAGATAGGTGTGCCCCAAACCTTTACTAGCTTAAAAGTGCTCCAAGTGCACTTTTCGGGTAAAGCCGTCGAGCTGCGAGCTTTAGATTTTTGGGATGTCTTTTGTGGGGTGGGTTCCCTACATGCAGGGCTGCAAAACTCTGGGTGTTAAGCAAATGCTTAAAACCTAAAATAAGGACGAAATGGGAAATTGTGTTGGGATGTAGAAGTGTCAAAAGGCGCCGCCAACCCCCCCCCCCCATTTCGAGAGATGTTTCGCGGCCGCAGGCACTGGTAGATGCGATGGCAGAGCACGTCCGCGACATCAACGATGCTTCCTGGCATGACTTTTCCTTTCTGGTGGTTAGTTGAGAATAAGGGAATGTATTCTGTAGGGCCTTTCTAGGGATCATATTCCCTCATGTTTCCCTTCTAAGAATCAGTAAGTTTGAGAGGGCGGGCAGTCTGCAAATAAGAGGGAATCCATTCTCAGGGCAAGAAGAGGGGTATCTGCTCTGTGGAAGGAATCTTGACAGCTTCTTTAAAGCTTTGTCCCACCCCTCCTATGGCTGATGGAACCTATGCAAGGAGTCCTCACTGGTTTTTATGCTCGGGATTGAAATGGCGCTAGATAGTAGTTTCTGTTTCCATGATCCCTATAATAAAACCCTTGTATAATCCCTACCCCCTATACTATGCAATACTATCTTCTACAAGGACCTGGATTTTAAGCCTTACCTTGCTATACCACGAACCTTAAACCCTGCCTGAGGCCTACAACAGGAAGGGTCTCTTCTTCATGAAAGATGAGGAGAAGAAAGCAGCATCTTGGCTCAGTGGGGAACGGGTGCGCTCGGATGTTTCGCAAAAACTAGGACCTCTCTGGGGTTCTGAAATTCTCGATGGAAATTCTGTGATGTTTGGGATGTAGAGTAGGAGATAGCTGCAGAGAGTAAGAGCTAAACATGCAATCTTGGAAGGCCGCCAACACCGAAACCCTGAGCCTTGACCATCATTTCAAGACATTGCAAGTCTTTAAGGAGCTGCAGAAGAAGTGGAACGAGGAGGACACCGGGCCATGAGAAGTTTGGCGTTTCTTTTGGAGAAGCTACCGCAGCGGTTCGTGCCCAGAACCCATTAGATCTTGAACCCTACGTCCAAAAACCACGGCCTTGAATCCCAGTATAGCATATTATAGTATAGTCTAGTATACCATACGATCCTCATTGATAATCCTTCAATGCGCCAGGAGCTGCCTGAATGGCTTTCGAAGTTGGAGAAGGCCCTTCCCGGCAGCGACGGCTTTGCCGTGGGCAACAAGGCTGGCGAGCGGCACTCCGTCATCACCTCCCACGAATGCAGTAACAATCCCCTGAACCCCCTTCCCCCTGATATTAACCCTCCCAATACTGCCATTATATTCCAGGCGGAATATCTCGGATACGGGGGTGGGGTTATAATTGGGGGAGAGGTAATGACTTTGACATACTTTGACGGCAAGGCCAGGGTCACCGCTATCACAGCGGAACATGGGTAAGAATAGCAGTAACCTACAGTAGCTTGGAATTAGAGTAGTCATTCTTGTGATAAGAGCACCTAAGCCTAGCATTGCTCCTGGCTAGAATTGCCACCAGCAATTCTGAAAGGAAGGAGGCACAGAGCCAACAGTACTTGGTGCAAACCTAAGTCTCGACCCCAAGCCAAGAAGCTGACTCTGTACGCATTCAATATAATGTGTATTATAATATGCCATAATACACCTTAATATACCATAGTCTATTTCTAATATACCATGATATTTTTCAATATACCATAAATATACCATGATATGTTTTAATGCACCATCATATATCTTAATATACCATAATATCCTAACAGTAGAAGGCCTCTCTTGCCGACGTGGCCATCTTCAAGCTGTTGAAGGATGGGCTACAGCAGCCATGGGCTTGAGATGCTCAGGTTGGCCTGAAAATCACTGTAGGGCTGGGATGATGGGTGTAAGGTTTCATGTTTAAGATTCAGGCTTCAGGGTCACAAAATTGTTGTTCAAAAGCCTGCCAGCAGTTTTCTTTTGGAGAAAGTATGCTTGGCGCACGCAGGACACGTTTCCCAACGACGTCTCCGCTGCCTACGACTCCTGCCCAAAGGTGAAGGCATGGGCAGATCCAGTTCTTTGATGAGTTCAAGTGCTAACCGTAAGGCCTTCGCCCGGCAAAATGTTATTGTTACAGCAATCAATGTTATAGATTGCATTCTTTAGGTTTTTAATGCTCAGCTGCGAGTGTTGTATAGTTGTAAGAATGGCCGGGCACGCATTCTGCATTATTCATGCCCTGGGGAATGGGGGCATGGATCCCTATAGTGGTCGGCTACCAGGATACTCGTAATAACCCACACAACAGTACTTAAAAGCCATCCCACTAAGCATGAATGAGCAGTGCAGGCAATCGTCAGCGGCGTTGAGAAGAATGAGGGCATCAAGAAGTGGCTGGCAGAAAGGCGGGCTGTGCTGGGCAACGCACTAGCCATAGTACAGTTAAGGGTGAATAACCCTCTCAACCTTTCCCTCCATATTCAACAGTTTTTCCCCAGAAGGTTTGGTATTTTTTCATTGGCCAGGTTATGTCAGGGGCAAGGACGCAGAGTTGCCTTCAAGCCCTTGCACAGCTTTTAGCGTGCCATTATTTGACTCAGGGATTATCCCTGCGTCGCCGAATTCCTCGGCCTCTCCATCATGAACATGTGTCCAAAGAGATGCAAACTGCTCTATGCAGGCAAGGGTTGTAGTCAGACCATCAGGAATCAAGGATATCATCTTCTTGTAGTTCTAATGCGAATATGACGGAGTGTCTCTCAATATCCTATTCTATTGATTCAAACCCCTGCACTGGGCATCCTGCTCTTCAACCTCAAGCAAACGCACCCTACATATGAGCTATGGGCTATAGTTCCTTGAGGGGGTTATATTGGGGTTTATATGAGGGACTATTATAGAGGGTATCAAGGGGGATACTAGGAGCTTAAGCTATAGCTCATATGTTAATGCCTGCCAACAGGGAGCCCGTCACCTGAAGCCTAAAGCCTTGGGGATGACATCATTCAACATCCACAATTAGGGTTCAGGGTTCAGGGTTTAGGGTTCAGGGTTTAGGGTTCAGGGTTTAGGGTTTAGGGTTTAGGTCCGGCAGCAGCTTTGACTTGGGGATAGTTAGGGAATAGGGGAACAGATTATCTAGGGTTTCTATAGGGCTTATATTCTTTTATTCCCAAACCACCAGTGCAGTAAACCCTAAATTCTAAACCCTAAACCCAATACCTTAACCCTAAACCCCTAGACCCTAAATAGACCCAAAACCCAGTTGAGTACCTTTGAATCTGAATGTCAAAAGCTTTGACCTGCCAGGCCAGACACCTGGGTTTGATGGGAGCGACTCCTTTTTTCGCCCTGTACAGCCTGTAGCTTACTGGTGACTAGTAGGGAACAAGGGAATCCAATCCCTGTATAATCCCCATATAATGTATTCCGTATTCCCTTACTCCCTACTACCCCCCAGTAAGGTAGATATGTGCCAAAGATCCGGTCCGCCTTGTTCGTCCTTACAGCGACTTATGATTTCTGTGATGTAGCGCGACCTTCTTGCTGGCATGTAGCCATATGATTAGAAAACCTGACCATATGACGGCGAAGCTCAACAAAGGCAGGTGCCGCGCCTCTTCGCTATTCTCACTGGGACTCCTGTAGTCTGCTAATTCGCCCATATACCCGTGGGGTTCCCTGGAATGCGCTTTGAGCGCACCCTAAACCCTAAACCCTAAGCCAAGAGTTGCTGTGACGTGCTGTCCCTTGGCTCAGCTTTAATCCGTGCGGACGCCTTGGTTGAGCGGCAGTGCCTTGGATGAAGTCCTTTTTTTGAGCTTATGGTCTAAACTCCTTAAAGGGTTTATATAGGGTCTTATATAGGGGAGTATTATAGGGGTTATTAAGTGGGCTTCTAGGAGTGTGTAGACTATAGCTTATTTGGACTGGGTATCCGGGCTTTCCGGGGAAGCAGGCCGCAAACCCAAGCGAACTCTAGCTCAGTGCATTGAAGTGGGATAAATTCGCCAGAGTATTGTTGGATGCCGAGGGTTTGGGTAATTGGCATGCTGTCAAAACTCTTTCAGACATGGCTTGATCCAACGTATTATTTGATCCAGCTTTTGGGCAGAAGAATGAATTATTAAGATGGATCTTGACGTCATAAAAAGTTCTTCCCTCAGGATCACGCGGTATGAAGTACGTATGTTACTCCATATGGCCTTCAAAAGCCGCTTGCCGTTTCAGGAGGGATGGCGCCCTGCAGATGCCTTTATCATGGAGAAGGCAAGTCGGAAAAGCCTGCAACCCACCTCTCCTTGCATTAGGGATAATGAACATAGGGTTATACAGGGTTATATTCGGGTTATATTCGGGTTATATAGGGATATTAGAGGGATAATGGAAAAGAAAATGGAAGCTACTATTTACATTAGGGTTTGGGGTTTAGGGTTGCGCAAGATGACCTGCAGGCATCAGCTTCTGTGATGTGATTCGCGTACATAGATGCATGACCTATAGGGAGTGCAAAGGCCTGCGTGGCCATCCCGCCAACTGCGACGCCCCCGGTCACGACCCCGGACGCTTCTTGAACTCTGCCCTTGAAAGCTGTGTCAAGCAGAACGGTAGGTGCTTTGCCCTCACGGGGTGTCTGTTCTTTGTGTTTTGCGAGGAGTGCTACTATTCGCTAGCTGACGCTCAGAAACCCCGCCTGCCGCCAAAACCTCAAAGCTAGAGAAGGGCGGGAGGAAAAACAGAGAAATAGGGAATCATTCAAGGAGGGCTCAGCACCTTGCGGCAGAGGCCCCACTTTGAGGGCTCTTCACTAGACGATTCCTCTGATGTTGGGCCCACCTTTTTTGGCTTCCCGCTTTGGAAGCCACAATAGATAGGGCCGTTTTGGGGGGGAGAAGTAGCAGGAGCTACAGATGAAAGGCAACGGTGAAGGGGAAGGACTGAAGTCATAACCAGATTCACTAGAGTTTAAGGCCTTACAGAATTATAACAAGGATGACGAAGGATCCTATTGGCTGCAAGTAATGTAGCCCGTGGCCTGCATGAAGTGCGTGCAAGTAAATACACACATATTAAGGACCGTGTCCCTAGACTAGAAGTCCCCCCTCTTGTCGGCCCTTTCACTTACCTGTGGTTAGCTAGGAATGCAGGAATGGATCGTCATAGCAGTCCCTATAAAACCAACTCATTGTAGTAGTTTCCATTTTCTTTTCCACTCCTTCATTCCCACCCCTAAGCCCTAAACCCTAGACCCTATCCATTTTCTTTTTCATTCCTTCATTCCCACCCCTAAACCCCAAACCCTATCCAGTTTCCTTTCCATTCTTTCATTCCCACCCTAAACCCTAAACCCTATCCAGTTTCTTTTCCATTCTTTCATTCCCACCCCTAGACCCTAAACCCTAGACCCTATCCATGTTCTTTTCCATTCTTTCATTCTTAGCTAACCAAAGTCCCTTTCATTGTGGCGTCTAAGGCAGAGGGCCAACTTGCAAGGCGACCTCTGGCGCAAATTGAAAAAAGGTTGCGGCCAGCATTTCAAAGGGTTTTCGGGCTTAGCGCTTTCGGGTTTAGGGTTTAGGGTTCAAGGTTTAGGGTTTATGGGTTCAAGGTTTAGGGTTTAGGGTTCAAGGTTTAGGGTTCAAGGTTTAGGGTTTAGGGTTCAAGGTTTAGGGTTTAGGG